CTCTATTTATTTACTATTTCGTTAATCATATATTTAATACCCTAATATAAAACTATTGTGACTATAGATATTTAATGTTTCTATTATAAGACTTTATTATTATCGTTATTTTTTGTTAACATTATTATTAATATTATTGTTGTTGTTTTTTATCACTATTTCTTTTCTCAAATAATTTTTTTAGGTTGAATGATAATCAGAGAAGAAACAATGTCACACACTTATATTTATCTGTATACGTATATGTAAAATTATATACAAATATATAATTATATATATATTTATATATATATATATATATATATGTACGATTTATATTTTGTTCACAACTGCTGTTTATAAATGATTATAAATGAAGCTTTTGACGACATGTAACTTTATTCATTTATTTAGATTTAGTTTTTCTGTAGCTTCGGCAGAAATGTTCTCTGGAAATTTTTTAAAAATAAATATAGTGATGGACGCTGATTTGTTTATTCATTCATTTATTTATTCATTAACTGCCCTTATTTAACTGAGCAAACTATTTGCAACCTAGTGCAACTATATAACTGTTACATTATTATGTTAATAAATATTTGAAATGAGTTGAAATCTGTACATATGTGTATTTTGATGTACACACGTTTTAGTTACGCTAATCAGTTGAATTGTTGATTGAATGAATGATTGATTGAATGTATGATTGATTGGATGTATGATTGATTGATTGATATAAATAGGATGTACATTTCTCTTTCCTTTCAATTTAAAAAAAATTCATTAGATGTTCTAAATCATCATCATCAACGTCCTTATGGTCACCGTCATCACCATCGTCATCTGTTCATTACTGTAGTAGTTATTTCACGATCACACACAATCACACATACACACACAATCACACGCGCAAACACACACAAAACGATCACCAAACACAATCTGAAAAAAACTTTGATGATCATTTGAAACTTTTAATGCACTGAATAAAATTCATCGTAATCTCACGTTTTCATTGCGTTCTATGTTGTGATTGCTAATTAATAAAATGAAAAATTTTTCACATTTTAAAAAATTATTATTTATATTAAAAAATTTGCCCACAGTATTGACAGTCAATGGTGATTAGTTGTACCGTTTTTATAAGAGTAAAAAATACAAATAACAAATTATCTTCTTATTTATTTAACATTTACAAGAAAACCTCTTAATACTAATGGGATAAAATTTGTTCAGTAAATCAAATAATAATATTAATTAATAATAATTCAATTGTAATTATAATAAGTTAATTGGTTAGATAATTAACTGCTGACTGCAGTTTGTACTTCAGTATTTCTGTGCGTGCCATCACAAAAAGGTTTGTTATTCGTTTGCTTGCAATTACACAGATGATAAGTTTCAGCTTTATTTACCGTAAACACCAGCGGCCTATATAGAGGACGTTTTTTAATAGGTTCTGTTCCATCCAGTCTTGTGTGCGAGCCATCGCACATGGGCTGGCGAAATTAAATTAAATAATTCAGTTTCAAATTTAGAAAATTGTAGCAAATCATGTAGTGTGATCAAGATTAGAGGTGTGTGTATGTATGTGTGTCTGTGTATATGTGCCATAAGTATTACACTTACTTGGCTTTTGCTGATACCACAAGTGCACCACTTGTAAGTTTTGGAAGGTTCCAGATGGATGGGGAAGGCCTTGTTGTCATAAATTCTTCCCTTTGGCAAGTCCACATCAAATTCTTTTGGGAAGGACTCGACCTCCCAGTATGGTGCTTTTGGGTTCAATCCTTACAATAGGTTAATTTTGTTGATAATTTGTTATGTATGTTTCCATTTATAATGTGAAACAACGCTTAACAAGCAATTGTACATGGTAAAATTATGTAGGTAGATATCTGATATAAAATATAATCAATAATGGTGCAAATACCTTAATTGACTTTGAATATTTAAATACCCACTAAGTGATATGCTTGCTATAAAAATATATATGTATATATATATATATATATAAATATATTATAAATTATTAGTAGTAAAAAGTAAACAGGGCAGTTATTAAATTTTATTATAATTATATTATTATATTATAGCTTCTTTTTTATTTTTATAACAGAGGAGAGGGTAGATAATACAATAGAGATCTCCAACTTAGCCTGAATGCAGAATGATGTATTATAATTATACTGTTTTGTATTGTATTGCATTGAAAAAATTTAATTAACCAACCGAGAAATGTGAGTGATTTATCGGGCAATGGGGTATCTGATCGGCGAAACTTTTTGAACCGAACTTGACAACATTGGTAGGACTGAGTGAGAGGGAATCAAACAAAACATTTAAAAAATAATTAGATGAATTTAAATTTAAAATTAACCTTTTTGAACAAGCTTATATTTAATAGTCTACTGCTGAAAACCATTTCTCTATTAAAATCGACTCACTCTTACGACGACGTCCCGTAACACCAGTTATTGTTATATGAATGTAATTTTCAAATTTGTTGATCAACGACAAC